CCGCCCCCGCTACCCTATTTCCCCACGCCCCCTCCTCCCCACCTTCTTAGCCTCCCCACCCCCACCCCAAGATCCCTGTCCTCCATTTTGGTACTCGCAGAGGCCTGGAGATGGATCTGCAGCGAAAATGGTGTGCTTTGCGGGTGGAGGGGCTCGGGCTGGGGGCCCTGAGAGGTTACCTGGGGCCTCTCAGATGGGAAAAATGACATTGTAAAACTCCTTTGAAATCCATGGCTGTGAATTTTGAAAAGTGCGTGGTAAGGCCTCTGTCCTCGGTGCTGATTAGTCTACCAAAAATTCAGTCTCTTCCTTTTCTTCTAGGAGTAATGGAGTCTAAAGAGGAACAAGTGGTCAAAGATCTCCATGCCAACCAGGGAAATGAAGAAAAAGATGAAAAGGAGCAAGACACTAATAAGGGGGAGCCCTTGACCCTCCCTTTGGATGCTGGTGAATACTGTGTGCCTAAAGGAAATCGTAGGCGATTCCGTGTTAGGCAGCCCATCCTGCAGTATAGATGGGACATGATGCATAGGTTTGGAGAGCCACAGGCAAGGATGAGAGAAGAGGATATGGAAAGGATTGGGGAGGAGGTGAGACAGCTGATGGAGAAGCTGAGGGAGAAACAGTTGTGTCATAGTCTTCGGGCAGTGAGCACTGACCCCCCTCATCATGACCATCATGATGAATTTTGCCTTATGCCCTGAGTCCTGATGTTCTTCCTGAAGTTAATAGGGAAATCCCTGCTTACTAAACTTACATATTTGTGGTGTACCCTTGTTGTAAGCCTTTTGGTGTTACTTGTTTCTTGTGGGTCTCCTATTGCCAGCTTCTAATTGAATGTTGTGTTTGACCCAGTCTGTAAGACTTTTGTTAGCAGAAGAATTTTACCTATTGCATGGAAAGATGCTCATTATATATTGTAAAGTTAATAAAGCAGTTTAAAAAAGCATTCACTGTATTCTTTTTTACTTTAAATATCATATTTGTATATGAACATAAACAGTCATAAATAGTGTGGATCTCTTTGTGGTAGAATTATGAGGGAATTTTATGTTCTTCTTGCTTGTCTATATTTTCTTATTTTTCAAAACTGAATACATATTACTTATGTATGGCCACCATATAAAACCATTGTGGGTACTTTACTAGACACTTGTAATAGGATCTCAATTTTGGTTTGCCTCTGGGATCTCTTATTTAGAAATATAAGAAATACAACTCTTTAAAGATCATTATATTTATCAGTAGTTGAAAATAATCACCTTCCAGGGCTGCTGTGTGGACTAGATGAGCTAATAAGTTTGTGAACTTTCTCCCAAATTCTTGTTCCCACTGACATGTATGACCCAACCCATTAGATATTCCCTTCGGTTAGTTGTTAGAGAAAGTTTCCAGGTGCGGCCTTTCCTATACTCACAAACAAGTCCATTAGGCTAAGGAGCAAGTACTTTCATTTCTCTGTTGCTGTTCTCCCATCCCACCCTCTCCCTTGGGTATTTAGGTCTGCTAATTCTCCAGGTAAGAAAACATCACGATTTCTCTGAAACTTCCAGTGGGTTGGATCCTTGCTCTACTCTACAAAAGTGTGGACAAATTCTCTCTTCCTGTTCAGCTTCATTGAAAGGCCTTGTCTGTCTAGTTCTTTTTTTTTTTTTTTTTTTGAGTTGGAGTCTCACTCGGTCGCCCAGTCTGGAGTGCAGTGGCCGCTTCCGGCCACCGCAGCCTCGACCTGCTGGGCTCCGGCGATCCTTCCGCCTCAGCCTTCCGAGTAGCCAGAATTACAGGCATATGCTACCATGCTCAGCTGATTTTTTGATTTATTGTAGAGATGAGGTCTCGCTGCCCAGGCGGGTCTCGAACCCGCAGGCTCAGGCAATCCACTCACCTCAGCCTCCCAAAGGCGCGGGATTACAGGTTGAGCCACTGAGCCCGGCTGTCTAGTTCTTTTTTTAAGAGTAATTCTATTCCAGGAAACCACTTCCCCAGTTCAGCAGACTGTATGATGTATGAGGGAACACAGTTCACTTTCAGTTTGAGACAGTCCCACCTAATACTAGCCCACAACCACCTGAAACCTACAAGTGCACATAATTTTGTTATCCTATATTGAATTGGACACCAGAAGATCATCAGTGAATCAATGGATACTCAAATGTAGGGATCGTTATAAGAAGTCCTTGGGGGGACTATTGAGGTTGTGTTCCCATAGAATTTGGGAAACCAATTCACCCTGTTTGTGCTAATCAGATGAAATAAATTTTATGTATGAAGACTGTCTTGTAGAAATAAACTTGAAAATTAGGATTCTAGAAAGGGCCAACAGCCCATGGGCCAAATAGGGCCTCCTGCCTATGTTTTTGGCCTGTAACTCAGAATGAATTTTACATTTTTTAGTAATTACAGAATATTTTGTGACACAAAAACATGTGAAATTCAAATTGTGTTGTCCACAAAGTTTTACTGGGACACAGGCATGTTTATTCATTTACATATTGTCTGACTGTTTTGGCCCTACAGTGGCAGAGTTGAGGAGTTGTGAAAGACAGTGTAGCTTGCTAGCAAAGACTGAATATTTTGTATTTGGTCCTAACAAAAAGTTTACCACCCCCTGCTCTAGAATATAGCATTGCAGTAGCACTTATGAAACCAAAGATGAAAAATGGGTTGGCAGGTGAAAATGTCATGTAACACCACAAACCCCAGACATCATAAATCAGATACTAAATAATTCCAAAGCCTATCTTCCTCTTGCAGCCACTTGAGATGCAAGACACATTCATGGAAGATGGAAGTTCATAGAGAGAACAGAGTTGAAAGGGCACAAAAACTGTTGAACAGAGACGCTTACGCCCTAACAGACTTTTTACTCCTGATTGAGAATGTTAGCACCAGCTTCAGTGGAAAAAAGAAATGTTCTGCTTGTATTGGCATAAATGTATGCAGCTGTTCCTCCACGAGAAGAAATCAAGTTCACATATGAAATGATGGCATATCCATGATAGAAGGTTAGACACAAATATGCCCAGAAAAATGTATATCTCTTCTGTATCCAGGCAGATCCAAGTTGATATGTCAATTTCTCAGAGAAGGTTGGGTTTAGAATTCCAGTCTATGGAGAGAATTTTCTGCTAACCTGTCTCTTTACAGAGTGTTTGTGTCTGAAGGGCCATTTGAGGGAGTAGCATGTAAGTGGTCAGGCTCCATGTAAAATGCTCAAGTAACACCCAGCAACCAGCAGAAAGTGAGCAAAAGGCAATAGAGAATAAGGCAAAACTTCCCCTGAGGGAAGCAGCCATTCTAAGGTCCTTGATGCATTTGCTTATATATCATTTCTACAAGCTATGTGATAAGCCTCCATTTCTCCTTCAGTGTGACCATTTTCTAGTAAATGGATAGACAAATTATTTCCATAAAAGCCTAAAAATTATAGCAAAGAGCAGACTTTTAAAAGGATGCTTAAAAAGAGGTCTAGATATGGATTTATGGATTTAGGTTTAGATACTTACAAATATGAATTAGGCCATTTGGGTCTAAGACATCCTGTACATCCAAGTAAATACCTGTTGAATGAATGAATGAAAAACTGAACAAGAGAAACATAGATTTAATGGTATTTAGCAAATGATAACAAGTATATATATATTTTAGTTGGAGTGTTACTCTGTCACCCAGGTTGAAGTGTAGTGGCATGATCATGGTTCACCACAGCCTTGAACTCCTGGGCTCAGGTGATCCTTCTGCCTCAGTCTCCCAATTCACTGGGACTACAGACATGCACTGTCATACCTGGCAATTATTTTGACATTTTTGTAGAAATGAGGTCTCACTATGTTGCCCAGGCTTGTCTCAAACTCCTGACCTCAAGCAGTCCTCCTACCTCAACCTCCCAAAGTATTGGGATTACAGGTGTGAACCACTGCACCTGACCAAGTATACATTTTTGGATCCCTGTGTATGTCTAAGAAATAGAGATAATGTAGATAACATCTCAAAACTTTTATAAAGAAGTTACTATTTTTTGTTTGTTTGTAAAAAATTTCAAGTTTACTGAAGGAAATCCAGAAGATAAGCTTAAGGGCCATTGTGTGACCAAAGAAAGAACTGCAATTTGAACCTTCTAGTCAGGGGCAAAGCGGGGGTGAGTGGTGAGGAACAGAGACATTGGGCTCTTCTGTGAATTCCAGATAGCAGAGGAAGTTCACTCTGGTTAGAAGTGAAATAAACTATCATAATTAACCATAATTTAGAACATTAAGTAGCATTTATGATTCCAATGAAAATGGAGTAACAGGGACAGCATTAACTTCCCTTCACAAACAAAACCTGGATAAAATATATGAAAGAACAATGTACAGTCAGTGAACATCAGGCAGTAGAGGGCAAAGTATTTCCTCTCTGAGAGAAGGGAAATGTATAACATGTATGATTGTCCCCAACTTACTGCATATTAGAATTTATAGCATATGTGGAAGCAAAATTTATGTCAATAATAGCATAGAAGGGGGAAATGAAGGTACACAATTTTAAGGTTCTTATTTTATACATTAATATCATTTGAAGGTGGATTCTGATTCATGAAAGTTGTATACTATAAACCTTAAAACATCCATTAAAAAGTCATAACTAAGAAGCCGACATCTGAGATGAAGTGAAATCCTCAAAATACTCAATCCAAGAAAAGTTAAACGAAAAAGAGAAAAAAGAACAGATGGGACAAGTGGAAGCAACACGATGGTTGATTTAAACCCAAACATATCAATAATCACATTATTGCAAATGGTTTAAATATCTAGATTTTAAAGCAGAGACAGTCAGATTGGATAGAAAAGAAGCACAAGTATATGCTGCCTGTAAGAGCTCTATTTTAAATTTAAAGACACAAACTGTTTACAAGTAAAAAAGATGAATAATTTTATCACTAATCAAAACACAGCTGAATGGTTATATTGATATCAGACAGTACATTTAAGAGCAAAGAACAATATAGGGGATAAAGCAGGTCATTACATAATTTTAAGTGGTGAATCTGTCAAGACGATGTGACAATCCTAAGTGTTCATGTATTATATACAGTGCTTCATTGGATTGAATTTTACTAAAGTTTTGTTAAGAACTTTTACAAAAAGCTACCAGAGCTGATAAAGTGACTTTAGAAGTGTAGGATACAAGATCAATATACATATTCAGTTGTACTTCTATATATTAGCAATATATTAAGTTTCCTAAGGATGCCTAAACAAGTTACCACAAACATGATGGCTTTAGAAAAACCCACAAATTGATTCTCTCACATTTCTCAAGTCCAAATTAAGGGTCAGCAGGGCCATGTTCTCTCTGAGAGTTTTAGCTCCTAGTGGCTGCAGGCGTTCCCTGGCTTGTGACAGCACAACTCCTATCTCTGCTTCTCTTCTCTGTGTATTTTTTTTCATCTCTTATAAGGGATAAGATATATTCATTGAACTTGGGGCCCACCCTCATCTAGTATGATTGCATCTCAATTCTTAGTTAGTTACATCTGCAAATACCCTATTTTCAAATAAGGCCACATTCTGAAGCTATGAGTGGACATGGATTTTTTTGGAAAATATTTAATCCATTATAAGTAATGGAAAGCCAGATTAAAAATTATTATTTTTTTTGAGTTGGAGTCTCACTCTGTCACCCAGACTGGAGTGCAGTGGCCACTCTCGGCCACCGCAGCCTCGACCTGCTGGGCTCCGGCGATCCTTCCACCTCAGCCTTCCAAGTAGCTGGAACTACAGGTGTGCGCTATCACGTCCGGCTAATTTTTGATTTATTGTAGAGATGAGGTCTCTCCAAGTTGCCCAGGCAGGTCTTGAACCTGCAGGCTCAGGCAATCCACTCACCTCAGTCTCCCAAAGCGTGGGATTACAGGTTGAGCCACCAAGCCCAGCTAAAATTAATTTTTTAAGAGGCAGTGTATAACTG